AACACTGGTATACGCCCCCTCTCTCTCCCTCGGCAACGCGTACAAGTGCTTATCTCGTAAAAGTTTTTATCTTTTCATTAGTTAGCAATAAATACTAGAAGAGGCCAGTACTTGTTTTGAGCAGGAAATCGAATTTGACTGATACACACATTTTTCAGTGAGTCTTGCACAACCATAGCTGAGGTTAGTTCAAGTAGGTTTTGTCCACGGTTATCAATAGATATATTCTCGACATGTAAACGTTTATCAGTCCAATGTATTTGGATCTTTGAGTTTATTGTAAAAGACAAGACTCGAAAAGGTAAACATCGGTCGTCCGTTAGCTGCACGAGTTTGGGACATGTTACATGTATAGATTTGTTAGAAACTAGTATAGAACACAGGTAAACATCGGTCGTCCGTTAGCAGCACGAGTTTGGGACATGTTACATGTATAGATTTGTTAGAAACTAGTATAGAACACACACGTTATGTTTACTGATTTTTACAGCCAGTTTGACTGTAAAAAAGCTTCATATTTATTTGTATATTTTGACAGTTATAACGCTAGAAACCAGCTTTCGATACCCGCGATAAGCACATGAAACATAGCCCATTTTATTGTCTTGTGCCTAACAACAAACACTATCTATAGCTAGTAACAAGTTAATCTCATGTTAAATTACATACTTTTATTGACATCGTAAACCTCGCTATAATTATTATAACGATGTCATACATGACATCATGACCATTGTAATGACGTCATAAGTTCTATTCTAATGACACCTCTATCATTAGGACAATATTTTACCTTAAGCCTCGTGTTTGAGTCACTACGCCCCTAGTATCACACGAAATATTCCAGAATAAATGTTAGTTATTAAGCACAAAGCTACAAAATGGACAATCCATGCCAAGCCAACCACGGGTATCGAAACTCAGTGTTTAACGTTTTAAGTCCTCAAACTTACCGCTTAGCCATTGGGGGAGGGGGATTGAATAGTTTGTGACAGCGTTTTTAGATCTAACTCAAAGATTGTGACAGCACTTTTAGATCTTGTGGTATTCATATACACTCCTCTCCAACAGATAATTTCTAAAGTATCCGCAAAATGTAACTTCCGGAAATGTTACACGGAAAATAAAACGGACACAAGTAACTTCCGGAAATGTTATACGGACAATAAAACAAACACAAACAGTAAAGAAACAAAACAGAAGTGAACAAATAAATATACTTCCACAATCTTTAAGTTATCTAAAAGTGCTGTCACAATCTTTGAGTTATCTAAAAGTGCTGTCACAATCTTTGAGTTAGATCTAAAAGTGCTGTCACAATCTTTGAGTTAGATCTAAAAGTGCTGTCACAATCTTTGAGTTAGATCTAAAAACGCTGTCACAATCTTTGAGTTAGATCTAAAAGTGCTGTCACAATCTTTGAGTTAGATCTAAAAGTGCTGTCACAATCTCTGAGTTAGATCTAAAAGTGCTGTCACAATCTCTGAGTTAGATCTAAAAGTGCTGTCACAATCTCTGAGTTAGATCTAAAAGTGCTGTCACAATCTCTGAGTTATACCACACCCACAGCTGAAAGTGTAGAGTATCACGTTTCGAATCTTGGACATTTCGACTCACAGCCCCAAACGATAACGACCAAGCCACGCCCGACCCAAATTACCGAACGTGTATTACTGTAATGAACAGAATGTTGTGCATGTGATTTTTTTTTTTCGGGAGGTATTCTAATGAACCCAATTAACCTCACCTTTAAAATGTTGGTTATAATACGACTAACTAATAATTTATAATGAAGGCTCATCACAATAAAAAACCGGGTTTTGATACCTGTGATGGGCACACCACAGATAGCCCATCGTGTAACTTTGTGATTACAAATAAATAAACAAAGTTCTTTATTGAAAAATATCTACAAAAATGTATAATTGTGCAAAGTTTTAACTGTTAGATCATCTTGTTTTGATATCGTTCACTACACTGAAGTCCACATACTCCACCATATTGATTTGTTTTGTTATTTTTGCTTTATTGAAAAAAAAACAAAACACAACTACATAATGACTTATCTGAGCTCTGTTCATTTTCAGTTCCAGAAGAAAACCAACGTGAAGGAAAACAAAGTGAATTTTTGTTATTATTATTATGTTGGGCACAAAATACTGCTGCTTCCTTTCTCTAAAATCTAGTGGTTAAGGTGCTCGACTCGCAATCTGTGGGTCGGGGATTCGAATCCCCGTCACACCAAACATGCTCGCCTTTTCAACCGTCGGGGCGTTATAATGTTGTTATATTCGTTGGTAAAGGAGTAGCCCAGGAGTTGGCTGTAGGGGGTGATGACTAGCTGCCTTCCCTCTAGTCTTACATTGCTAAATTAGGGACGACTAGCGCAGATAGCCCTCGTGTAGCTTTGCGCGAAATTCAAAACAAACACAAACTCTAAAGGGGGCGGTTTTCAGATAAGAATATTGTTGTGGACAAAAGAATAAATCTATCAGGATCTTCATAATCCTGATAACAAACACGTGATTACTATTGTCTCTGGAACAGAAACACACTGTCAAGAGACCACAGCATCTGATATATGTGAAGTGGAGCTTTAAGATAACGTCGTCTATTGTTTGCAGAGAGTTTAGACGTCACAAGATTTGCTCAGATGGATATCTATAAAGACTGAGAAGGCGTCAAGTTTTTGAGTGATGAATGGTGTGACGAGGAGAAAACAGATCAGGAAGGCACTCATTGTATGATTTCTAAACTTTTCCGGTACGGTGCGAAATTTGAACCCGTGATTCTGCTAATCGGGCTTATGCTGTATCCAGCCGATTTGTCAAGTTTCGAATGTTTAATTTTTCGGCTTCTAACTTTATGAGGTTACCAAGAAGTTGGAAGTCTGTTTGTAAAGATTAGGACCTGTAATATTTACGTTTGTTTGTTTTGTGGAAATTGTCGATTTTAAGTGGTTTTACTAAAGAAGGTTTAGTGATGGCATATCTTATGAAATCAGAATTTCATGAGTTGGTTTGTTCAGGTCCTTGAGAGCTAACCATCCATTTACAACAGACCCGTGTTTTAAAAAGAATGTTACTCTTAACAGTCGGTTAACAAGAGACTCGTTTTTTTACAAGAATGTTGCTGCTAACCGTCCGTTTACGACAGGCTCATAACCGTTTATAACATTACAACAGACTCGCATTCTCCAAGAATGTTACTGCTAACCACCCATTGCCAAGAGACCTGTGTTTTATAAGAACGTTTTTGCTAACCGTCTGTTTAGAACAAATCTGTGTTTTCCAAGAATGTTGCTGCTAACCATCCCTTTTCAAGAGACCTGTGTTTTACAAGAACGTTTTTGCAAACCGTCTGTTTAGAACAAACCTGTGTCTTCCAAGAATGTTGCTGCTTACCACCCATTGTTAAGAGACCCGTGTTTTACAAGAACGTTTTTGCTAACCGTCTGTTTAGAACAAACCTGTGTCTTCCAAGAATGTTGCTGCTAACCATCCATTGTCAAGAGACTTGTTTTACAAAAATGTTTTTGCTAACGGTCTGTTTAGAACAAACCTGTGTTTTCCAAGAATGTTGCTGCTAACCATCCATTGTCAAGAGACCTGTGTTTTACAAGAACGTTTTTGCTAACCGTCTGTTTAGAACAAACCTTTGTTTTATAAGAATGTTGCTGCTAACCATCCATTTTCAAGAGACCTGCGTTTTACAAGAGCGTTTTTGCTAACCGTCTGTTTAGAACAAACCTGTGTTTTCCAAGAATATTGCTGCTAACCATCCATTGTCAAGAGACCAGCTTTTTACAAAAACGTTTTTGCTAACCGTCTGTTTATAACAAACCTGTGTTTTATAAGAAAGTTGCTGCTAACCATTCATTTACAAGAAACTCGTGTTTTCTAAAAGTATTGTTGATAAACACCTGTTTATAACAGACTCGTATTTTCCAAGAATGTTACTGCCAGCCATCCGTTTACAACAGACACGTGTTTTCCAAGAGCGTTGCTGCTAACCGTCCATACAGTGTTTTGTTAAGTTTTTCTCCATGTGTTTTTTAACAAGTGGTTTTGTTAAGAGTATCACTTACTGTCTTTGTTCTTCGAGGAACTCGGCCCTGTGGGAGAACTGTCTTCGATTCCTCACAAGTGCGGGAAACTTTATAACACTCTCCAACAGTGAGAGATTTCCTACGTAAAGTAACGACGACTGGTAATATATTTACCACTTCTGTTCACAAGTGTTTTTAGTTCCTAAGCCTGACAAAATGTCCTTTTTTCTCTTCCAATTAATGATAGACTTTTTTAAAATTTGATAGTTGCTGGGTGAGCATTTTAAGAGTTTTACAAGTCACATAGATTGAATTATTAACAAAAAAATCGTGTGTTTCCAGCATAGCACCACGTTGTGGCTGAGCCCCTAACGACAACTGCTAGAAGATAACAGTTCGTATTTTGACCCTTGGAGTACAATTGGAACTTGTTTGCTATAAACCGAAGCACTTGAGTTTAAGAAGGTTTCTACTGAAAGAAAACTGTTACTAAAGTTGCTGACCACAGATTTTAGAAGAATTTTAATGTCCGGGTGTTTTTTTTTTTAGTTTTAGTTATCTGCATTTGTGAGAGTTATATGCTAAACAAAATTAGTAGATATGATTTTTTTTTCTGTAATATTATATATGTGTAATGCCAAAAACAGATAAGCGCCATCTATGATGAAAAACAATTATAAAGTTTAGAAGTTTAACAATATTCACTATTTTGGATTAATGCCGATCTTTCATTTCCTTGTATATTTAGTCATGGAAATAATATTTATTCTAGGGCTTATGCTTAGAAAACAAAGTAAAACGTAACTTTTCCCCTTAAGTTGAAATACTTCTCATTAAGATCTACAGAACATTTTAGTTTTATTAGGCTTAACACAACAATCTTGAGTGTTGGTCATTTCTCCAGCGTGGAACAAGATTGGTATCTCACTAAAGAATGTTGTATTTTTTACAGAAATCTCTGGACTGTGCAGACCACCACAGCGAAATGAAACAAGCTCGGGTAAGATTGCTTACACTAAAGCTCGTAATGTTTCTGTCGGGTCCCTTGGAAAGCTCCGGATGGAACTTGGGAGTAGGCCGAGTACCACGCTGGGTTCACATGGGACAAGCTTGTGAACACAGCTGGTGGTATCTCAGTGTAACCCCAAAATGGACATCACCTTACACCTTACTGGAAGCCTTAATTCAAATAATCTTCATTGTATAGTCCTCAAACATAACGGAATGTTGTAATGACTTGTGGTATCAAGAGAACACTGTTTAACCGTGAAGTTAAAACCCTTAATAGATAAGTTACAAGTAATTCTGCAGTTTTTTTGTAATGTTGAACTACGTTAGTCAGAGACAACTGACGATATATGGAGAACAACTAGTGTATAGCTATGTATACGGTACCATTTTTTCGCCACATTTATTTTATTAATATTTAATTTCTTAAATTTCGACCGTAATCAGTGGCATCTTAAGGCACGGGCTAACTGGGCTGTAGCCCAAGGCCCCGAACCTTCCAGGGGCATCCATCCCAAATATATTGTCTGTATTTATTTTTTATTTTTAAGTGTGGATTGGGACACAATTCACACTTAGCCCAGATCCCTCCTAATTTTATTCCACTCACCCAATGTCTCACTTTTTGTAAGAGACATTGAACGTTAATGTTATACAACTATAGGATATGAATGTTATACAACTATAGGATATGAATGTTATACAACTATATTATATATGATCAAATCTCAAGCGCTGTTGCGAAGTTACACACAAAACACAAGACGGTATACAGTTTTGGTGGAAGGATGACATACGTCACAGTCTCCGTTTTGACAAGGAATTACATTTATTGAGTCGATTCAAGTATGAGCTTTTAAGTTTTAGTTTCAGTTTGGCCGTACTAAGTAGAACATACAATCCAACTTTACTCGGGGAACTAATCGAAAAACAAGTTTCACGTATCGGTTATCAAGGGATTTGTGATATACTGGCATGGAACGGAGAAGAGTCGCCAAGATTTGTGATATACTGGCATGGAACGGAGAAGAGTCGCCAAGATTTGTGATATACTGGCATGGAACGGAGAAGAATCGCCAAGATTTGTGATATACTGGCATGGAACGGAGAAGAGTCGCCAAGATTTGTGATATACTGGCATGGAACGGAGAAGAATCGCCAAGATTTCGGGTTATCAAGTGATTTGTGATATACTGGCATGGAACGGAGAAGAATCGCTAAAAAGGGGGATAGGGGCACAGCCTCCCGGACACTGCGATTATAGACAAAGCTACCTCCTAATCTGAATTTAAGTTTGAAATCATTTTTGGGGGATAAAAACCTACGCAAATGGATATTGTACATTAAGAGCGCCACGCCCTTGAGCAATGTTTAACCTTGACAACTTAGGTGTTATTATGCTATTCATGATGTTGTTTTTGCTGCGCAAAGCTACACAAATGGCGATCTACACCTCGCAGAGACTCGAACCGCGGATTTAGCGTCGTAAGACTGTAAACTTACCATTGTCCCACGTGCGACGTGCTGATCATAGAGGTTCGTGACCACTTCAGAGGAGTAAGTTATCGCCTCCAGTTGTTTGTTTGTTAGTTTTAGAATATCGCACAAAACCGCATAAGCCGTGTAGATCTCTCTTGTTCAGTAAATTTTACACTTACATTGTAGTTTGTACCCTAGTTGTATTTGTCTACGTGTAGTCGTCCTTGAATTTGAACTGTTAGGTTACAGAAAAGGTAGTCAACAGTACTGAATCTTGTGTAGCCGAATAGTATAATGCAATTGTCACTCATATAGCTCACTCATGGTCCCTAAGGTGCGGAGCTCGTTTATTTTTATTTATTTTTTTGCGGCAACGGAACGCAAACCATGAACCCTCGGACTCACAGTCCAGGCAATCTAACCACTAGGCCACGCGTGGTCTATTGAAACAGTGAATGGCAGGGGACGTTTTAGGCTTAAGTATCCATATCTAGTGATAGTGTTTAGATTTTATTCACATACGAAGCTTGCAAAAAAAAGGGGTTAAATCTGGTAGGTGGCGTATCCCTGCCACTAGGTGAGTCCTAGTTATTCAAATATCTCTCTTGTCGGGTACATTTAACACTCTTAAATAGAAATATCATGTTTCTCTGTTTTATACGAAATGATTTTTGTTTTGGTGTTGCTGTCTTCAAACTGCTTTAAAACATTATAGTTCGTATTCTGGTTTTGTTATTTTTCAGCGCAAAGCTAAACAATGGGATATCTGTGCTCTACTCACTGCGGGTATCGAAACCAGAATTTTAGAGTCAGAAGCGTGCAGACTTACCGCTGATCCACAGGGGGAGGGGGCTGTGTTATATGAATAATAAATGTATAAATCAGAGGTGGGGTTGAAGTGTTTAGTAAGTAGTTTATCCTAAATTCTTGATTTAACGATAGTGAATTGGGTTTTGTTTATTAAGTTTACCTTTTCCTCATGAAATTACTAATGCATGTGACAAAGAATAACCTTCATTAAGTTTTATTATACCATAAGTGTCAAATTGAAAATTTCCACTTGTGATTTTTAATATTAGTTTCTATTAGAAGGATGTTATGTTTTGGCAGGTCTCTCATCACCATAGTAACTCAGTTCTAACTATAACTATATTTATTGCAGGTCTAGATAGGCTTTTCATCGTAATAATCATACAACTCGTATTAATGTTAGGTTTAAATAGGTTTTTCGTCCCCCATAGTAACATGTCTCGTACTGTATGAATGTTAGATAAGTCATTTATCACCATAGTAACCCAGTTCTTACTATAACAATGACAGACTCAGTTCTTACTATAAGAATGATAAGTTTAAATAGGTCTCTCATCACCATAGTAACTCAGTTCTTACTATATAAACGATAGGTTTAAATAGGTCTCCCATCATCATAGTAACTCAGTTCTTACTATATAAACGATAGGTTTAAATAGGTCCCATCACGATAGTAACTCAGTTCTTACTATATAAACGATAGGTCCCATCACCATAGTAACACAGTTCTTACTATATGAATGCGTTACTCATTTCCTATTATACTGTGGTTAGCCTTACATAGGCCTCTTTTCCAGTTTGTTAGGTTTAAATACGCCTGTTTCTCTGCGTGTCACTCAGTTCTTGCTATACGGTTGTAAGGTTTAAATAGACCTGTCTACCAGTGTGTCACTCAGTTCTTGCTATACGGTTGTTAGGTTTAAATAGACCTGTCTACCAGTGTGTCACTCAGTTCTTGCTATACGGTTGTTAGGTTTAAATAGACCTGTCTACCTTGTATGTCACTCAGTTCTTACTATACGGTTGTTACGTCTAAATAGTTCTAACTCTGAAAGTATCACTCATCAGAAAATATGTAATTATCAGATTTTAGTGGATAATTAGAATAAATTTATTCAGATCCAGGAAACTTAGTTATTAACATTTTATTAATACATTGATTCGTGCCTGGACTTAGAGTGATTGATAATAGTAGAACTAACAATGAGAATATAACAATAGTCTTGTATTTGTTTTGTTTGCCTCTTTGGTATCGAAACCCGGTTTTAGCATCATAAGTAGCGCTGCCACTAGGAAGCTAATAGTCGTGTAAAAACGAATATGATGTATGGTTTGTGACATAACAGAACGAATTTTGTATAAACTACGAAACCTGCCCTCTGCATGGTTGTACTGAAGGTGGTAAGTTTGTGGCATAACAACAGAACGAATTTTGTATAAACTACGAAACCTGCCCTCTGCATGGTTGTACTGAAGGTGGTAAGTTTGTGGCATAACAACAGATTTTTTGTAGAGATTCTGAAACCTGCTTTCTCATTTCTAATAGCATTTAGTCTGCATGGTTGTACTGAATGTGGTAAGTTTGTGGCATAACAACAGATTATTTGTAGAGATTCTGAAACCTGCTTTCTCATTTCTAACAGCATTTAGTCTGCATGCTTGTTCCAAAGGTGATAAGTTTGTGGCATAACAACAGATTTTTGTAGAGATTCTGAAACCTGCTCTCTTCTTTTTACTGTATGTTGCATGCGATCTTGACTTCTTTATCTACGTTCCAGTAATGCATTTGCACGTTTACTCTCCAACTGTAAATGCATTCTCTGGGATGCTAGATATAGTTGTATTTCCTCAACTTCTATCCAAACACGTGCATGGAAAAATTTAATGTTTCTTCAGATTCAGATCTTATTACGTCCAGACTCCATCCGAACAGGAACATGGACCACTAATTCTTCATATTCTGACTGTATTCACCCCCCACTTTGCATCTGAGCACGTGTATAGGTCGCCCAAAATGATTTTTAGTTTCTTTAATCTCTAAAAAAAAAACTATTTTCTTCTATCTATATCTGTATATGAACTGAAGTTATTATATTGTTTTCTGTGTTTGCTATTTCTAACAATCACGAAATCGCCTTTAACATTTTTTCTCAAGCCTTGTGTTTTTTTTTCTTAATATTTATTTTCAAGTATTTCGGTATAAGTTCGATATTTAACATACAAGCAGGTATGTACGATCTGTCCATGTACTGTTCCGTATTTATACACGTATAATAATAGAATAAATAAATGAAGTTTGTTTTCTAACTTATTATCGAGTTTGCTCCGATGTAACTACTATTATCATTCGAATTTCTTCAAGTTTGAAGATATAAATCCTTATGTGTCACTACTCCGCCTTCATACATACGTGTGAATTACAATACTATTTCCTTATGTGTCACTACTCCGCCTTCATACATACGTGTGAATTACAATACTATTTCCTTATGTGTCACTACTCCGCCTTCTTACATACGTGTGAATTACAATACTATTTCCTTATGTGTCACTACTCCGCCTTCGTACATACGTGTGAATTACAATACTATTTCCTCGGAAACTCACGACGATTTTAGTACGTTTACAGTACACGTGCTAACAAAATGAAATACAATTCGTTCCCTCAGTCTGAAACTTATTAACCTTATAAATGTTTGAAGTTATTTAACTTATGACGAATGTTTTCCATTTTGTATTTAGTTTATTTTAGTTGTTTTAGCGCAAAAACCACGCAATGGGCTATATGCATTTTGTTCACTGCGAGGAATCGTACCCTGGATTTTAGCATTGTATGTCCGTAAACTTACCACAGACTTAATGGGGGCTTCATCGGCGGGACAGAGGCAAGTTCACGGACTTACAACGCTAAAATTAGGGGTTTGATTCTCCGTAATGGACACTGCAGATAGTCCAATGCGGCTTTACCCGAAAACAGACATGCGTACAAACCCACCGGGGAAATGTTCATTGATCATCACAATTATCCTAAAGACTGGTTGAAACGTGGTAGATCTAAACGGATAACATTTTCCGAGTGGTAGGCTTTTCTAATCAAATTGTTTTAAAAATAAACAGAGTTGAAAAACGAAGAGTGAGAAATAAAAAAAAAAACTAGGCCATCTCATACAACACCCGATTTTCCGAAACACGTGTAAAACTGGAGCGTCAAAAAGTATTAGATGATAGGAAAACCTACAAGAATTTCAAAATAATGCTGTTGGTTTTGACGAAAAGAAATTCTAACCATGAAAAATGTATCAATTATTAGTAAGACACACAAATAGGTGTAATGCCAAAAGTAAAATGTAGCGTATATCCGTAGAGTTTAAATAACACAAATTCACTTGTTAATTAACCTTTGAGCATAAAGCTGCTTAATAAGCTGGCGGCACTGTGCCAATCATAAGGAATGAATATCCATACGTTAGTATTATAAGCCCTAATAATGATAAAAAGTTCTTGTAATGTCAACAGTACTTCAAAGTTATATATGCGACCATAAAAAAACACGTATGTGAAAATAAATAACTATAATAGAATGAGTCATCAGGGTTTGGTTCATTTAGTTTCATACTAAAAGTTATGGTCCGTATAAACAATAGCTACACATGTATTCATCATCATGTGACGAACAAGTTTTTTTAACCACTCGCACCACTATACAGTAGTGTGTGGTCTGTCTGTCAGTCAGTAAACACTAAAATGATGTCTAATAAGGGTTAAGCGTTGCAATTTGTGCTGTCGAGACGTCAGTAAAACGTGCGCATGCCATGAATCACGAGAAGAATTATGCACTCTATAGACTACAACATAGCATGACATTTGAACTTCAGAAGCAAGAAATCAAAATATTTGTTACTCTTAATTTCGTTGGAAGACTTATTTCAAATAATAATAAAAAAAAGGCGTGGGGCAAAATACGAAACAATCGTATCTGGAATCAAAATAGTCAGAAATCAAACGCTGCTCTGTCAGTATTTTACAAACTTCAAATAATGGCGCCCTTCTAACTCAAAGCTGCACCTCAACCCTTCACATTAAAATATTTTTCGCAAGTGATAAAAAAAAAAATAAAAAAATCAGGA